TTTTTAAATAAAAAACTGCGATTGCAACATGATGAAAAATAGTTATGTCAACGCCAAACCAAAAGAGATACGGCTTTTTGTGACCCTGCATTAGAAGCAGGAGACTCTGGGGATCATGGCCATGTATAATTTTTGCCATTTGTATGAAATGAACGCACGCTAGCGGCGTTTGAAGTTGCGAGTATCTGACAGTTATTTTACGACATAGAAAATGTCACGACTTCTGACAATCATACACGAGGCCGGTTTTGACAAAAACATGAAAATCATGTTTTTTCAGACACCCCAAACATTTGTCTGACTGGCCATATTACGATTTATTCGATTAGTTGAACTTGAAATTTGGGCCTTTTCGGTATTTATGGCCACTCGTGAACCCCATTTGCATCACTGTGGCCCGGGGCCGGGACTCGGGAGGGCGCCCCGCTGCGACTGGTGTCAGTCAGCTACCGTAGCCCGTGCCGCCACTCACCCGGTGCGGTTTGTCGCACGATAGCTAACCGTGTCGACGGTCAGGCACATGGACTCCATGTCGGTAACGGTAGCTTTTACTGCCGCCCCAGACTTCGTCTGGTTCGTTTGGAACGTCACTGAGCTTAGGAGCTGTTACGCAACCAATCGTACAGTAACCAGAGCAGAAACTGTCGACATTCCTATAAACAACGCCACATGGCTCTGGCCCCTGACTGGCAACGTCACGCGGGCTGGCGTGTTTAAATGTTGACTCGATGGGCGGCGTGGGTATCGTTTTCACTGTGACCCAGCATTCCATCGCCCAACATTTGTTTCACAAATAAGAGTACGTGAGATTGAGCAAGGATGACCGCCATGTCTGTCTGTTCTGTGTTATAATGGGCCTGGCGTCGTGTTTCCAGTCCTGTTTGACGTGTTTTGGTCCGCCTGGAAACTACACCATATGTTTCTTGCCGAATTAAAGTACACGTTATTTTTAGTTTAATTAGGTATCTGCGCATTGACCCACCAACTGGCAGTGCATGATGTGCCAGATGGAGGACACACGCACACAAGCACACACACACGGCTGGCACCGTCCTCATTCCGCAGCTGACCTTGCCGTACCGTGGTCCTGTGACCGCCCTTCCCAGTGACCGCCCTGTGTGGTACCTCGTCCCTGTGCGGTACCGTGGCCCTGGGTGACCACCCGTCCCTTTGTGACCACCCGTCCCTGTGCGGTACCTCGTCCCTGTGCGGTACTGTGCCCCTGTGTAACCGCCCTGTGCGGTACCACGTCCCTGTGCGGTACTGTGGCCCCTGTGTGACCGCCCTGTGCGGTACTGTGGCCCCCGTGTGACGGCCCGCTCCTTGCCGTCCGCAGCTACTGTTTACCTCCGATAAGGTGGTTGGCGACAACATCTCTGGCGTGATCCTGTTCCACGAGACCCTGTATCAGAAGGCGGACGACGGCACGCCTTTCGTCGAGCTGCTCAAGCAGCGCAACATGATCCCCGGCATCAAGGTCGACAAGGGCGTGGTCGATCTGATGGGCTCCGAGGGCGAGGGTACCACACAGGGTGAGTGATCTCCACTAGGGCTGTTGAAAATAAACGAATTAGGGAAAGGTATTCACTATGCGGATTTCGGGCTCATGGTTCCTGTGGTGTCGTATTCTTTTCCGGTTCCAACGATGCTCATTTTACGAAAAATGTTGACTATTAGTGTTCCCCAAACGGCTTAAAGCGACCATGTTGGCGTGCGGGTGTGGATATGGTCTAGAATTCAACCGCTGCGCGTGGGCGGGAACGCCTTGTTTTGGCACCGCCGGCGCCCCGCTACCCGACTTGCCGCGCGGCCGGCAAGCCACGCGCGGTGGGAGGGAATGAGAGCGTGGTCGTATTTACGACGAAGTGAAGTTGGTGCGACTGCCCGTATGTGCCAGTGCCGCTGTGCACCCAGCCGTTCCCGGTGTCTCGGCTGACGGCGTCCGCCCTCCCTGCCGCAGGCCTCGACGACCTGGGCAAGCGCTGCGCCCAGTACAAGGCCGACGGCTGCCAGTTCGCCAAGTGGCGCTGCGTGCTCAAAATCGGCCAGAACACGCCCAGCTACCAGGCGATGCTGGAGAACGCCAACGTCCTGGCGCGCTACGCCTCCATCTGCCAGATGAACGGCCTGGTGCCCATCGTCGAGCCGGAGGTGCTGCCGGACGGCGACCACGACCTGGACCGCGCCCAGAAGGTCACCGAGACCGTGCTGGCCTTCGTCTACAAGGCGCTCAACGACCACCATGTGTTCCTCGAGGGCACGCTGCTGAAGCCCAACATGGTGACGGCCGGCCAGTCGTGCGCCAAAAAGTTTTCGCCGGAGGAGGTGGCGCGCGCCACGGTGACGGCGCTGCAGCGCACCATGCCGGCCGCCGTGCCGGGCGTCACGTTCCTGTCCGGCGGACAGACCGAGGAGGAGGCCTCCGTCCACCTCAACGCCATCAACGCCTTCGCGGGCAAGAAGCCGTGGGCGCTGACGTTCAGCTTCGGCCGCGCCCTGCAGGCGTCCGTGCTGAAGGCCTGGGCCGGCAAGGACGAGAACGTGGCCGCCGGACAGCAGGAGCTGCTCAAGCGCGCCAAGGTGAGCGCCGCATGGTGTGCGGCAGCTCCCCGCTGCAGCTGTACCTAGCACGCCATGCGCTTACTGGCTAACGTTTTTATTTGCGTGCCATACCCTTGCTGTGTTTTGTTTTGCCTATTTCAATACTACGTTTCGGTAGATATTTTACTGCTTGCAATGCTTTTCTTAGATGCCCTGTTTGCTGCCTGCAATCTTGTATTTTGCTTTTGCAGTTTATTTTTAGTTCCAGCCCAGTTTGTGCTGTACATGTTACGTGGCTGCTGCGGTTGCGGCGCCGGCGCGGTAAGTATGGGCCGCTCCCAGCCAGCGCTAGTGGTGGTGTGTGTGTGTGTGTGTGTGTGTGTGTGTGTGTGGCTCGCCGCCCCAATCCGTCCGCCGCCCCTGTCTGCAGGCGAACGGGCTGGCCAGCCTGGGCCAGTACGCGGCCGGCTCCATCCCCAGTCTGGCAGCCACCCAGAGCAACTTTGTCAAGGCGCACGCCTACTAGGCGCTCCACTCTGCGGCGGCCGCCGGCGCGCTCAGGTGCTGTGACGAGTGACGGCGGTCCCCGGGTAACAGTCCCGCCCAGGTGCTGTGACGAGTGACGGCGGTCCCCGGGTAACAGTCCCGCCCAGGTGCTGTGACGGCGGTCCCTGGGTAAACAGCCCCACTCGGGTTAATCGGCGCACACGCGCGCCTGTATTCAACTGTTGACCTTCCATTGGTTGGTTACTGTCTTAGGACAGTTGCAGTTTTAACTTTCTTATAGTGCATTTACATGACGTTTTGCATTTGGACTAGTCTATGAATAAGTGGCCATGCCTTTGGATGCTGGGTCAATTAACTATCAGTCTACCACTTACATGAGTCACTTCTACTGCAGATTGCTCAAATAATACGTATCACGTCCCTCATTCCGTGTCTTACTCGGAGCCGTGGCGGTACCAGTGTCGACTTTCGGCTGACGTTCGACTTTCGGTAGTGTTTGTGACCGGTGTCCGACTGTACCGTCTCGTGTCTGACACTACTCTGACCGTACCGTCTCGTGTCAGATCAGACTCCATATGTCTGTGTCGTATCGTGTCTGCCCCTCGGCCTGTATCTGACTCGGTACCCCCCCCCCCCCCTCCGTACAGGCGAACGGCGAGGCGGCCCAGGGCCAGTACGTGGCCGGCTCGTGTGTCGGCGCTGCCGCCGACGAGGGACTGTTCATCAAGAACCACCAGTACTGAAGGGCGGCGCCGCGCCGCGCGCCCGCCGGCACCACACCCGGCCTCCCCCGGGCCGCTCCCCTCTGCGTCCCCCAGTGTGCGCCGCCGCTTGGTAGTCTGGTAGCGCCGCGACTCTGTCCCCTCTATCTCTCTCTCTCTCTCTCTGCCCCCGGGCTCCGCTGTGACGCTGACCGGCCGACCTGCCGACGCTCGGCGCTGGCTGCCAGCGTAGAGCCTCTGCATCTCTGCAGGTCACAGCGGGCCGCGCGCACATCACTGGATTACTTTATTACCTAGGGTTGTTTTGAGACTTGATGGATGAACAAGGAGGCTATATGGTGAACGGCAATGATTTGTGATTCAATCATGTCTATTTCAAACACTTGTTACGTGATTGATAGAACAGTATGATTTCGTAAGACTGTATAGTTGCATTTTATAAAGTTTATTGGGCGGTGCGAGTGCGCCTTCAGCTGTCGGCGCACTAGAAGTGCTCTGTGTGTAATGCGACTGTTTTTGTCCGGCAGCGCAGTTCAGAGACTGGAATACACGTATCGCGAGGCGATTGGCGCAGTGTTTGCAGCCGAAATGGCGGAGGGCCGATTGGGGACGGGCGGAGACGGGCGGCCAGCGGCTCCGCGCCGGGGCCGCGAGGTCCGACCTTGTCCCTCACTCAGTCTAGCGGAGCGGCGGCCTGACCGTGGCGGGGCTGGCCAGCCGTCCGTGAACTGGCCGATGCAGGCTGACTGAGTGCGCGGCCGAAACGCCCCCAGGCGGCTGCCAACCAGAGCCGGTCGGCTCAATACACCGGGCCGCCGTCCCGACGGACTGGTGGTTGGCGGGTGAGACTGGGGCGTATCTGTCCCAGCATTGCGTCTGTCCCGGCTGTCTGATCGACAAACGACATTGGATGTCTTCAGGCCACAGCGTATCCGGGATTGACCGACTAGAGACCCGACACCTACCTACTAACAGGCGCTCCGGAGACTGGGGCGTTCCACCCCCTTCTGTGTCCCAGTCGAGTGAACGTTACAACACTACTGAAACAAGTTGACCCGGAAAGGTAAAAAACCCTACTAAGTGTTCCGAAAGTTTGCGGATCCCGTTTCCAAGTGGGTGCGGGTGGCCGCGCCATGCGCTGTTCGCTGCCTGGGGTCAAACGGACGCCGATGAGCCGTGCAGTCACCCATCGTAATCTGCAACTGTAGCACGCCTGTGATAAAGACGACACACTCGATATACGATATATTCATATCTACAGAAATGCCGCCGCCTGGGGGGCTGACCTCGGCCCGTGACAGGGCACCGGCGGCCGGCGGGCCGGCTATGCGCCAGGCTAAGCACATGGGTGCGGTCTACACGGCACAGCAGCCGAGGCGCCCGCGCCGCCGAGCGACCCCGGCGTGTAACGTAGCTAATTCTCCAGCCATAAAGCTAGAAACGGGCTACCCGGCTAGTGCAAGCAATCGACAATGTCACAGACACTGGGGGAGCCGCGCTTATGCCGACATTCATCACATCAAAGATTTCGACCCGCATTCTCTACCGAGGCCATTAATCAGCTGGCAAGTGACTGGCTGTACAAGTAATGCGATCATAAATAAACATATGAACATACAGACAATGACGTCACATAATATACGAGAAACTGCACGCGCAAGTGAACCTCTATTGCGCGACGCGCGCCACGAGTATTCCTGAATTCCATTGATTCCAAAGCATCACAGCCACTTCGACGGCAGCGCCGGCTGCCGGTGTCGAATGCAACTAGTAGTGCCTGTACGGGCGGCGCGGCGGCGCTGCGCTCACACCGGTGTGTAGTTTCCCACCGGCTTGTAGAACAGCTGGCCGGAGACCAGCCGGCGCAGCAGCTCGCTCCTCAGCATCTTGCGCTCCTTGGCCACCTTGGTGAGGATGCCCTTGTTCTCCTGCGCGCGCCGCGACAGGTAGGGCAGCACCTCGTCGATCGGCCCGTACGGCACGTACTTGTAGACCGAGTAGCCCGCCTGGCCTGTGGCACAGACGGGGCGGCGAGCGCTGGTCACCGGCACTGGACCACACCGGACCACAGCCGGCCACACCGGACCACACCGGACCACAGCCGGCCACACCTGACCACACTGGACCACAGCCTACCACACCTGACCACACCGGACCACGCCTGACCACAGCCGGCCACACTGGACCACACCGGACCACAACCGACTACAACAGACAGAAGACCACACTGGACCACAGTGGACCACACCCGGACTACACCGGACCACACATGACTACAGCCGACTACAACGGACTACACTGGACCACAGCCGACCGCTACAGACCACACCGGACCACAGCCGACCACACTGGACCACAGTGGACCACAATCGACCACACCCGACCACAGCCGACCACGGACCACAGCCGACTACAACAGACAACAAAGGACCACAGTGGACCACACTGGACCACACCCGACTATTCCGACCACTGAAACGGACCATATCCGACCACATCCCAGCTAGTCTTCCCAAGTAGGACCCCAAGTGGGCACCAAACTGGGGCCCTTCTGGGCTGCCCAACACGGATCCAGATAGGCATGTCATGGGTGTCCAGCTGGGTCCCATCTGGGCACCCCAGACGGGGCCCATGTGGGTTCAGCTGGGGCCCGTATTGAACCCATATGGACTTTCCCAGTTCACGTGGTCACACGTGTGAGAACTGCGTACCTTTTGTCTCTAACTTGATCCCTCCCTACATAAATACGAATTGAAGAACTATTGCAACATGATTCGGGGACCCCAACCACTTAACTACGCTACCATTAGAAGTAGGCGGCCGGTGGCCGGTAGAGAACAGAAACGAGAACCTTTTACGCGTATGTACCTGTTGTGAAAAAGGAGAAGAGCTTGTAAATTGTAATGATAGGTATGCTGAAACCAACAAAGTAACGATAGGTATGCATGCTGTAGAGTGCAGACACATTCTCCGTTACTCCATGTTGTCTCACTCTGAGTTTAAGGAGTGGAGTGGAGGTGCTGGCTTCATCCGGAGCGGACAAGGGCGTTTGCGCCCGCCGTCTCGTGTTCGAAGTGCTCTGACGTCTAGTACGTAAAGTTAGCCCACTTAGCCCATCTGGGACCAAGATGAAGCCCATGGCAAGGCCAGATGTAGCCCATGCACACATTGTCCAGGTACCCCACTTTAAGCCCCAATTGGTCCTATTTGGAATGGCTGGCTGGGATCGGACCACACCTGACCAAACCCGACCCACATCGGACCGCACCGGACCACACCGGACCACTGAGCGGGACCAACCACACCGGACCACCCCCGAACCACACCGGACCAGTGTGCCAGGTCACATCGGACCACCCCGGACCAGTGATCCAGGCAGGCACCCAGCACATGGGTCCGCAGCCGCAACTTGAATCCGCAACGTGAATCTGCAACATCGAATCTATCGGACAGGACATGTGGAGTTGAAACTTTGTGCAAAAATATATGTATTTCGGTGAATTGATTACTTGTTTTGATTATCAAAGGTGGCCATCCGAATTCCAATCACCTATCGCACAGCACACAACAAGGCTCAGCAGCGCTTATTTGGAATTCATCTAAAGGCGGGCGGCACTGGTGACGGCTGCCGGGCGGCGCCATTGATCGATACGCGGCAGCTCATTTTCAGTCGTAGACAAATGCTGTAATGCACCTCCCCGGGATAGATAACGAGTACAACAACACCATTAATATTCATCGCGGCAGGTCAGCAAGCCGCAATGACATTGAACTTATCAGGACGTCGATCAGCGCTCATCACAAATTTGTGGAGCGAGCGCCCGATACAAAGTCACGCGAACCGTCCACAAAAAACGCACCGTCCGAACTCGGCGTCATCGTTAATCAATAGTAGGGCTCAGCCGCCACTGGCCAGCCACCACTGACCACTGACCACTGACCAGCCACCACTGACCAGCCACCAATGACCAGTCACAAATGACCAGTCACCACTGACCACTGACCAGTCACCAATGACCAGTCACCAATGACCAGTCACCAATGACCAGCCAGCACTGACCAGTCACCACTGACCACTGACCACTGACCAGCCACCACTGACCAGTCACCAATGACCAGCCACCACTGACCAGTCACCACTGACCACTGACCACTGACCAGCCACCACTGACCAGTCACCAATGACCAGCCATCACTGACCACTGACCACTGACCAGCCACCACTGGCCAGCCGCCACTGACCAGTCACCAATGACCACTGACCACTAACCACTGACCAGCCACCACTGGCCAGCCGCCACTGACCAGCCGCCACTGACCAGCCACCACTGACCACTGACTACTGACCAACCGACAGCCACCAATGACCAGCCGACAGTCACCACTGACCAGTCCACACTGACCAGTCACCACTTACCACTGACTAGCTACCAATGACCACTGACCACTGACCACTGACCGGCCGACAGCCGCCGCCGCCACTGACCACTGACCAGCCACCACTGACCAGCCACCAATGACCACTGACCACTGACCACTGATCAGTCGACAGGGTGTCAGGTTTGGTCTCATTGGACCGATTCGGACCAATGGGACCGAATCAGTACAGAACAACAGGGCCCCCTGAAAGCAGACGAGCTCATGGTCTGAAAGTTCAGGACCAATTTCGATGACTTCATTCGGAGTGCCGTTGTCTGAAACAATGCCGTTTTTGGTATTTTTCTATTGGCTCGCTAATCTAAGTGGACCATATTGGTTCAAAACGCCTATCATTGCATTGCAGAGCATGCTCCGAGACCAATATTTTCCGGGCATACACTTCGGTACACTTGGGTCATTTTTTGGGTCCGGTCAAAGGTCAGGTCACCACTCACCAGGTCAAAGTCACGTCATCAAAGGTCAAATTTTGAATATTCCGACATTTTTTGAAGAGTAGACGCATAACTCGGGAACTAAAGAACATAGGTACCTGTGCTGCGGAAAAGCGCATTTGATAGTCTTTTGACGGGCTCTTTCCGAAATATATGCTCTCGGATTTGACATACAGATCGACGGTTTATCCTTCAGAGGGCAAAAACTCCCAACATGACGCTTTTTACGGACAATACCTATTCTTGTAGGAAGCATCATTATAATATATGACCTTCTCCTCGGAAAATGACAAAATAAATGGAAATGATTATTTATTGATAAATTGATATTTCGGTCGCAGACCTTCGTCTAAATCGAATTCGTTAAATCGTACAAAGCACTTTCTCGACGCTGTAGCTCTCTTGGTTCATGAGATATGCACTGGTTTGTCGAAAATCTGTCAAATTCGGGGAAATTGAAGGGAAAATTTACCTTTCATAACCTCCAGTGACCTCAGCGTTGACCTGAGCGGAAATGATCTTTTTACCTACAGAGGGGCTATCGATTGTTTTTTTTGTGTTTTTTTTTTTGTCCGTCTTGTTAGCCTTTTCAGTCTTCATCATAAAACAATTGATAATAACCTTTTGCTCATAACTGAGAGAAGCCAAAAACAAATCCAAAATATATTTTCGGTGCTGGACTTTCTTTTTGGATCTGGTTTTGGTTTCTTTTAGTTATGAGCAGCAGGTTATTATTTCTTCCTGTAATTACAATTATAATCATGCTAAAAAAACGTTTCAAACCATTCAAAAATTTTCGTTTTCAAGATAATTGGTGTGGTTGAATACCTCCTCCCCTGCCCTCTACCACATGGCGGAGTTGGCTGAGACCCGAAGGTCCCACCAGTGTGCGGGTTAACGATAAAACGGCACGTGACCTGCTCGGATCAGCTGAGAGCTCACCTAGCGGGAACGACACGTGGTCGCACATGCCGAGCAGCTGGCCGAAACAGACCACCTTGTCCTCGCGCTTGATGTCCAGCTCGTCCATCCTGTAAAGGCACGGCGATAGCTCTGTGAGTAGACGATTCTCCGCAGTCACGGCAGCGCATCAGGATGAACACACGCCTGCCTTCATAAAGCATTCAACATCGGTAACCAGGACATAGTACAAACTTGGATTTGTCGTATCTAAGTAGAAATAAATAAATAATGACTTGAACTGAGATCAGATCACCGGGTCAGGCCGAGGAAAGAAACTCAAGTGTAGTCACTGACTGTATTTTTTTATTACACGTCAAATCCCGGAACATATGCAACAGAAAAGAGCAGGGTCGGTCAGTTCTGTAGTTTCAGGTCGATGTCTGGTCATGTCAGGGAAGGAGCGTTAAAACAGGCACCAATGTGTATTTATTCACATGAAGCCCTGAGTGATGTGGAGGCATAGGCATTAAAGTTAATCCGTAAAGGGAAATAAGAAATATGGGAAAATCTGAAATTAAGCATGTCGCTTTAACGTAGGGTGTCAATTCTAACCCTCATCCCGCCGGTCTATTCAGCGAAACGCGCCCTGCTGCCCCCCTCCCTTACCCTATCTAGCTTCCAAACAGATGGTCGTAGAAAGACGGGGAAAACGGCAATCGAAAGCTCTCAACAAGACAGATCTTTGGAGTAAACACCTTTGCCCAAGTAGGAGATCAGGTCAAGGTCAGGTCAAGGGTAAACTAATGGACTGAGACTGATAACCCAAAAAGTGCTCTTAGGCTACCAAGACTAGATTAGTTGCATAAGATCTCATATAAAGGTCAAGGTCAATGTCAGGTCAGGTCACCAAAGACGAAATATAGAATAGGATAAAAGCGACACATGCTTCACGCATCACTTTATTTACATAATTCAATTAGCATATTTAATTAGTGATATGGACCATATTTGGAAAAAATCAGGTCGAGTTCGGGTCAAGGTCACGGCAAAGGAGGTAGAATTTTGAAGTTGATTGTTAAGATCCAAAAAGGTCTCTATCTGTTGCAGTTTTTTCTCGACAAATTGAATGGTGTTATTCTTGTTCCCGTACGAGGTTTAAAGCTTCTAAAAATTACGTTTCTTAATTTTGTATGTCGTGACGTCATCACAATCGAATAATTTCTACATTTTTTAACCGATTCTTCTAAAAATTAGAATGTAGGTGCACCGAGACTACTGCTCTAACAAATATTCAGGTTGTTATATCGATAAACTGTAAATTTTTAATTTTGTAATGATTCTTAAGAAGTTAAAAATATCGGATGAAAGTTCTACATTTAGATAGCACTTAGATAGCACTTAGAAAGACAAAGAAGAGATAGCACTTAGAAATACAAAGAAGAATCACCTTTATGCTTTTTGTTACGTCTTGATTCCTTAAAAACTGAAGATGTTAGAGGCGTTTGAAGATATGCAGTTTTGAAGTGAAGATACCCCTCCCGAGTAATCGCGAGCTCCTCGTCAGAGGTGATGTGAGGACGGGGGGGGGAGGGGGGCTATTCCTCGGCCAGGGCACGTACTTACATAGGTCACTGTAGTTCCGGACATTAAGTGGTACATAAGTTTATAGTACGAGTTTCAACCTGAAAGCCACTCACCGTGAGTCCTGCGACTGTAAGGCATCACTTATTAGTATTTAAACACGAGGAAGAACACCGCAGAGTCTCCCGACCAGAGCCATGAGTCGCTGGACCAGAGCCCAGCACTGACAGGTTATATGTTTTACACTAAAGTAGTGTGTTCAGGGCATTTGACGTTGTCACACATCCAGATCCCAATAAAGTAGACTGCCGTTGGGACCGTTTCCGTCAGTTTCCCCGCTGCGGCACTCACTTTTGGACGGTGAAGCGGACCGTGTCCTCGTTGTGGCTGGCCACCATGATGGCCAGCTTGCGCGGCTGGCCGTACTTCTTGTAGTGCTGGATGCGCCGCAGCGTCTCCAGCAGACAGCGCTCGTACATCTCCGAGGTGGCCTCGAACGTTGGGTTGATGGGGTCCTCGTAACCGAGCGAGGCGGCTCGGTAGCGCTCCTGGGGGCGCGAGCAGGCCGTCAGGCTCAGCACTGGGCCGAAGCAGCCCTGTGTCCCGGGCGGGCGGGCGGCGGCGTCACTGGGGGCCGGCGGCGGCGCAGGGCGATATGCACCGAGGTCGAGACGGTGCATGTACCAACTGGTGAGACGGATTCACGAGGCAATGGCAAAGCAACTCACCGAACGATGACCATGGAAATTTCACTTCTCATTCTTTTTTAATGAATCCAATCGAACTTACCTGTGCCTGTGCCAGGTCACGAATGACAATGAATATTCGCAAGGTCGGTCCCGACACTAGACAAGTAAGGTACTCATGGGACGGATAAGAACGAGAGCTTCTTTTGAAGAGAGCTGGCAGAGAGGCCGCAGTCGAGGGAGCCCAGGATACACTTAACTGTCTCCAGATCAACTCGAGAGACCTGGACGGATCACAGCGCGCTCTGTACGCCGCTCACTGCCGTGGCTTTCCCCGGCCTCCGCGCGAGCATCCCGAAGCTGATAGAAGCTTCTGTAGAAGAAAAAGTGATTGACAACATGCCCTGCCTAACATAGCTAAAACATAGTCCTCTGCTGGTGGTGCAAGAGGGCGAAAAGACTATTATGGCATCTAGAGCCTACCGTATATGTATATCTCGAATAATTGAATATATATGCCTGCTAATGGAAACCGTTGTTACTAGCGCACGCTTCAATACAGACTTGACAGATCAAGAGGTCAACATTTTGACAAATGGACATTGGACTAAAACATATTTTGCGTTGAAAGTCTTCAGAGCAGTTGAACTATCAGTATTCACGCCAGACAATGGCCTAAATTTGCATTGATTTGCATGCATTCTCATAAGCAAAAGAACAAGTTCTAAACAACAGATCGGTTCAGCAGGAAAACAAGGAAAGGAATGCTCAAGAAGAAGCAGAGCAGCGCATTCTAACGTAAGGTGAAGATACTATTGCCCATGCTGATTTATTTTGCACGGCGTAGAACGCATGACTAGGCTATTTCAGTAAGCCACAACGAAAAGTTGCATCGACATCGCACCCACATTATTTGCTAGAAAAAATGTCAAACTCTGAGCATTCACAGTGGTTTGTGATGCCTCATTACGAGAGGTGATCTGACTGCTCAGTTCAGACTTTGGTCAGTGAGCTGACTGCTCAGTTCAGAATTTGATCAGTGAGCAGTTGGCACAGCGACAACTCCCAACTGCCGAGACGCACAGAGCTCGCCGATTCCCCGCGCGACTGACAAAAGTCTACGCACGTATGTTAGCACTGGGGCAAGTTATGCCAATCACTAAATAGGGGAGCGTTTGTTGATCGACGTCGATGGTCAGTAGGCAGCTAATGTCGGTCTGTGTCAGGCAGGCGCCGGCGGGTTCGGTGGGTGGCATCAGTGGCCAACGGGTTAGCCCTCGCCAGCCCACCGCTCCCGCCCTCCCACGGAAAACAGCACACACGTCTCTGTTAGACTGTGAGGCGGCGTGTCATCGAATGATTTCATGCCAGGCATATGGAGGAAATATGTAGGCATCAAGCGGCAGAAAGAATGGAAGACAGTTGAAAGCGCATGCTGTCGGATAATATCGCCGACTGATGGCTGGGTAGTTGGTGCCTTGTTGTATGTTTATCACATAATATTCGTTACAGGCGGACAAGTGTCCAGTGAATAGGGACGCCCATAGACCACATTTTCTGTCTCTATCAAATACGAGCTATCCCAATTATCGGCGTCTATCTTGTATCTACGAGTAGCAGTCAGCTATTATCTGTTCTGTATGTCCACTTCACTTTGCGTTGCAATGAAATACAATTCGTCCTCAATGAATTTCAATGAATTCGAATTTCCTTTGTCCAAACTCTGAAGCCTGGGTTAACAAAGTTTGCTGAGCAGGTTCCGTCGTTCCAACCTCAGCCCCCGATCCATAAATGCCCAATGCACGTAACGCTAAACACCATGAAAAGTTGTTCAGCCTCTTTAATCAGCTTTGTATTACATTGGCAGCCGCTCACTAACTACCAGAAGTGAAATTGTTTTGCAAAATCAAGCAAAAAAACGTTGAATTTTCCTCCCGTTTTTAAAAAAGTGTGTGCCGATTGTTGACCTGGACTCGGTCTAATTGCGGCACTCCTGTCTCCTCCCCCATATCCGGTCGGGTCACCGCCACGCCCCCTCTGCGCAGCGCCGGCGGCGTTCTAATTTTACCGGCCGACGCGACGCCGCGCCGGCCGCCGCCGTATTGATCGCACCGTCACGTGGCGCAGCGGCCGGCGGGCCTGGGAGCGGCGCAGAGCCATGGAGCAGGCCCGCCGCGGCCGCCCGGCCAGCTATACAGCCAGCCGCCTCCTAATGTTGTGTAAGGCGCACAACGTGGGCAGTGGTGCAATGTCCAGTAAAAGCAAGACTCAGAAGTCCGAGTAAATGTAAACTCGGAGAGGCTAACGACGCCCCATGCCGGCGTGTGCCAGCCGACCAGTCCCGCCCACTGGGAAGGAACTGCGCAGCTATCCTGTATGCACCTACATACTGAAACTCGTGCCCAGAGCAGTAGGCGGAACTATGGTCAAGCGTACCCATTTTCGGGAACGCATTTTCGTTCCCATGTTTGGGAACGATAAACCCAAATATGGGAACGCCATGTAGGCATTATTTAAAACAAGAAAAAGAACCGTTAAATGACGTCCAAAAAATATAAAACGATCGTGAACCACCTGATATTTGTCTCAATATTGTTGAGAAAGAGTTTGATATTGTAAGGCCCATCGTAGTTTCAAATCGTTCCCCTATTTGTAAAGCAGTCCATCATCCGGGCCGCGAGCCCAAATTTGGGAACGCTCTCGTACACTGGCGCTGCAAGCGTTCCTTATTATGGGAACGGCGTACCCAAAATTGGGAACGATTTCACCGACGCCTTTCAGGGGCTCTTTTCATTAACAAGCATCACGTCCAACGCCGCAAATTATTGTTAACGCAACAATCATCAGATGACCTTTCCGGCAAGACCGTCGCATGTTTCGCCCGGTCTTCTGCGCTTTTATTCCCGTTGATCTCGCAGCGGGCACGCCCCCCTCAGCAGGATTACGTAATTCACAACGCTCAGCGATGTTCAACAAGGTCTTCCATACCTATATACACCGTCCGCGCCGAGGGTGGAGACATGTCAAGCACCTTTCTGCTTATCACCGATAGTTGACGAGCACAAGGAAGTATCCAAAAATGGGAACGCTGAATATGTTACACCCTCAAAACACCTAGTCCCAATGAAAATCTAGTTTTTTCCTTTCTTGATGAGTGTAAGTGGCAAAAGGCCTGGTAGGATGGGCACGAGGAATGATCGAAATCAGCATGAAAATTATAAATAAGCCACACAGAGCGACCTATATAAGAGAAATTCCCCCAAAACGATCACGCTTAGAAACACGGAAGACAAAAACCACGCTCATGACGCTCCTTATAAAACAACTCTAAACAGCTAGCATCCAAATAAAATATGTCTATCTGGGATGATATAATACAGCTGAATAATTTTAACCCTATTCCTGGCGGGCTCCGCCGGGACAAGAAACTGGCGGGGGGGGCCGATTCGGCCCCCCCCCCTGAGATCTCGAGAACGAAGCAAGATAGCGACAAGCGGTAAACGGCATCGGATACGCATGGACAAGGTCTACAATTTTTACTAAGGTCATTTTCAGGTCAGGTCAAAGATGACGTCACAGGGGTCGAAAAAGTCAAAATGGCGGCGCTAGATATGGAGAGAGTTTTTCTCGAATAACTTTCGAATTAGTCAAGATATGAACAAACTTAGGGCATCATCGTGATCCTCTCGTCAATCCGCATCGAATGATATATATGTTGACCTCGAAAGGTCAAGGTCAAAGGTTGACCTCAGGTCACGTGACCTCGAGGTCATCATGTATATCATTCGATGCGTCTTGACGAGCTGAACACAATGAGACCATCCACGCGTCTGTATCTTGTTCCTGTACGGAGTTATTGGCCAAAAACCTTTGGTGACCTTTGATGACGTCACATGACCTCACAGCTGCCCAACAGCAAAACAGACCTCAAGGTAGTGAAGGTTGATCGTATATGAAGTCATGTATGGTATATGGGGCCATTCCGACCCGTTTTAGTGGTAAAAACAGGGAGTTGATTTTTCCCCCATTGACTTATAATGGGGAGGTCGCGAAATTGACCTGACCTTAGGTCACCGATATCAAAATTCCGAGATATACAAATTGTAGCTACTAATGACCTAATAACATCCTGCGACTTTCAAAGGCCTCCGACATCTACTGTAGCTCTGGCACGGTGACAAAGTTGCAAAAAAGTTCCTTGAGGTTGGGTCATTCAAAGTGACCTGGTGACCTGACCTTGAAAGGTAGGAGGTTCAAACTTGCACACTATGTGTAAAAATGATAAGGAAATAGTCATACCAAATTTCGCGGCGCTACGCGCCGCGGTTTTCCCGCTATTCGCGAAAAACCTCAGGGGGGGGGCGGATATCCGCCCCCCGTCGGTGCGCGGGTTAAACTTTGGACTCTAAATTCTGCCATAGAACTGGAATTGCGCGATCGGAGGGTAGAGGGCAGGGTCACCGCAACAAGCTTCGCTTAGCGGTGGCTCTGTCCTTGTGAGTCCTTCCTATCAGAGGGTTCGGACTAATTTTTTTTTAACATTAGGTCACCGATGTGAAAACTGTGAGATATACGAATTGTTCATACTGATTTCCTCATGCAAAAGCTCGAGTTTCAAACTTCTGGGATAAAACTGTAGGAATGACAGAGTCACAAAGTTTTTTGGAGGCATGGCTACTTTACTTTACCTGGTGACCTGACCTTAGGTGACCTGGTGTCAAAATTTTCACACATGATGCGAAATTGAGGTATCATAAGCCATACCAAGTTTCGCGGCGGTGCGCGCCGCGGTTTTCCTTACACGCGCAAAAAAAAAAAACTGGCGGGTGTGGCTAGAAACACCCCCCCCCCCCACTTGGGCGAAGGCTGATCCTGAAATATAATATTTGGTCTTCGCGGCCCTCCATGTGGTCCCCAGTAACTTCAGAATCGTGGTTACGCGCCTGCAGCCAGGGTCAGTTGGTAAAAAGATAGTTATAGAAAACACTCATACTTCAGTTCAGGCCAGCTTCTAATTGCACACTGATATGTCCTCCTCCTGATAGGTCTCCGCCACCTGAGACACTTCCTCCCGCGGCATGTGATGTTAACTATTGTGCAGGGGCTGGTCATCTCGCGCGTGAGATATTGTATCTCGGTGTATGGCAACGGCTCGTCTAAAAACGATACTAGACTGCTTAACCCGGCAGGCGGTGGGCCTACCAGCCACCGTCCGCGCGGTGGGGGGGGGGGGGGGCACTTTTTTTGCCCCCCCCCGTATCTCCGAAATTACTGGACGGATCCGGAAAATTCAAACGGCTTTCGATAGCCCTGTCAAATTTGTCGAAGGAAACCAAATTTCATTGACCTCGGGGTCACCGATGACGTCACAGGTCAGGTCAAAGATAAAATGTTTCACCGTTCACGGGGCTTCTAGGGAAAGCGCTATAACACCGAGTAAAACGCATTTTGTCGAAAATCAGCGATAAGGCGTCAGTTGTCTTGTACATATGTTGCTATTAGAGGTCACTGGTCATACCAGGTCAGGTCACAGGTCAGGTCACCAAAGGTCACCAAGGGTCACCATATGAGCCCAACTTTTCTAAGGTTATGCGATGCATGTTTTATGGCCAGTTTTTCATTTCCAACTCAATGGTGTTGGTTATAAGACCATCAGGTACGGTTTAGGTCACTTTCTGGTGGAGGTCAGGTCAAGGTCAGGTCAAAAAGGTCAAATTTCAAATTTGAAATTTTGCATAAAATGGGCATCGATTCGATGCAGCTCGTCACGGGGAGTCTAATGGTGGTCTTTGTTTTGCGCTACGAGGTCTAGAATTGCTAAAAGAGTTTGAAAATTTGACGTCATCAATTTTGAACAGTTTTTTTCGCTATAACTTGGCCAAAATAAAGAGATATCGATCTCAAATTTGGTATGTAGATAGAAGGCGGTAGGGGCTATCACATATATTCCGTTTTTTCGAAATTCAAAAAACTTTTTGGATTTTTTGGCTATTATATTTTAAAAAAATCTATTTTTTGATTTTGGGGGTCACAATCCAAAAAATTCGAAAAACCGAAATAGCAGTTTTGTAGCCCTTTTAATTCCACACCTTTTATGTCTGAAACATTTTTCTGTATCTCTAAAGCTGTAGGCCTGACAGCTCTTCCCGCGAAACCTTTTTTTGGGTCGAAAATGGCAAAAATGACGTCACTCTGACGTTATTAGCGGCCAACCTATCATAGCCTTTGGAAATTTTTTTGTCACCACGTGCATTGTGCGCTAGCTGCTCCCGGGAGGGTACTGAAAGTTTGGTGACGATCGGCGCAGCGGTTCTCGAGATATATCGAAAAAACTAAGGGGGGGGGGCAAAAAATGCCCCCCCACCGCCTGGAAGGTTGAAGTAGTCAATTTTGCCGCGAGAGTGGTAACGGGGCTAAAGAAGTTCGACCATGTGTCTCGCGCGGGATGACCTGCACCTGCACACGCCTCGGCAAATGTGTGATATGCCGACAGCGATCGCTGCTCACAAAGCCATTTTATATCAAGAACCCGCCGAGCTTGCCATGCTTTTACATACCCATGCTGACACTAGGAATGGTGAGCGTTCGACTAGACAGGACAACTGTTTGCGCCTCTCAGCCGTGCGCACAGCGACGGGGCAGCGCTGTTTTCAGTACCGCGCTGCTAGTCTCCTCAACTCCATGCCGGGAGACGCGAGAAATCTAGACCCCGCGTCATTTAAACGAGCTGTGAAACGTATTTTTACTCGGCGATGACTTGTACGCGTGACTGTGTGTACTGTGTGTGCGTGTGTGTCATTGTGTGTGTGTTTATGCGACATCATTGTCTTGCTCTTTTATTCATCTCTAAGGACACGTAAAAGCTACGCGTTGCTGTAGAGTGTCTGCTATTGTCAAATACAAATACAA